CAACTGTCTGTTTTTTATTTATTCTTCACATAAAATTTACTTAAATATATAACAAAGTTTATAATAAAAAAATGATTAAAATAATTTAAACTCAAGTACTAAATAAAAAGTAAATAAAGTGTAACAAAATATCATTAAAACATTACTATTCTCACATTTTTAATTGTAAAGTTGCTAATCAAAGTTATCAACTAAATATTTCTCAAAGGATAAAATTATTAATCTATTTAATCTTTATTGTGACATAGTTAACTGAAAAGTAAGATTTAATCAATTTTAACTTTGAATTTTTTTTTGGAAACAATTATGAGGAGAATTTTTTTTAAAATACCTGATATTAAAATTTTATAAAACAAAGGACATACAATATTTTTATAATAGTTTGAGTCTTTCAACATTTTTATAGAGTTTGACACAGAGAAATTTCGCTCTGACACAATTTTTTTTTATTTTTCACAAAGAAACTTCATTCCGACACAGAAAAATTTTAATTTTCACAAAAAAAATCTTGGATTTCATAGAAAAAATTTGAAAATTTATTTGGCGTTAAGCACAAAAAAAAAATTTATCGAGGGATTTTAGCTATATATTGTACCTCTCCTACTATCCAAAATTAGAGAGGGATATTTCACTAATTTTTTCCAGTTATAACTGATATAATTAATCGTATTTTATACATAATTTATAAATTTAGGAAACATTCATCCATTTATTAATTTAAAATAACTCATTGTATCAATAGATTTTTTATTTTTTATTTTTCAAGTAAAAACAATCATTTATTAGTTTTAAATAATTCACCATATCAATCATTTATTAATTTTGAATATTTATTTAATTTTGTTGGGGTGTTTTAAATTTAGATGATTTATTTATTTATTTATATATAGATAGTATAATACCTAAAAATATTTCGCAATCCGTTTTTTAAATAAATTTCTAAGACTCAAAGCTGCAGCTTTAAAGCCAACCCAGAGGGATGGTCACGGGTCGGGTTTGGGATGGATTTATAAAAATCTGCTTCCGCCCCTAATGATATCAGGAGCGGAACAAATCAGTGGGTAACGGAAGCGGGACAAGTGAGGAGCAGGAAGCGGATTATTTTTGTAAGTTGAAAAATAAAAATATTAATAAAAATATAATATAGTATATTATGAATTATAATTATTGAAAATTATATTATATTATATTATATAAGATAGAAAATAATGAATAAAAATTAATATTAAGTATAACATTTTAGTATTTTAACTTTATTATAATAAAAACTAAATTTATTATATACATATAAATATGTTTAATAATACAATCGGGGTGGGGTTAGGGTGGAATGGTGTGGGGGAAGCAAAATTGGTTCCCGTCCCATTTCTTAATCGTGGCGGGAAAATCTGTACGAGACGGGGGATGTAGGTGCGGAGCATAGCAGTGGAAAATGACCATCCCTACAACCCTCATTAGAAGGGTGGGTAATGATTTAGGCCCCGTTTGGGAATTGGTTAGTTTAGTTAGCTTCTTGATTTTTTATGAAAATATGTACAGAAAAATAAAGAGTGATATGACAATTTATAATGACTTTTTATTTTTTAGCTAAAAACTCTACACCTTTAAGAGGTTGTTAGGCATATACTAAAAGAATATACCTTTTTAACTTTTTATCTTTTTTGGATCACATAATCTTTATATTTTTCTATACGTCTTTTCGTAAAAAGTTAAAAAATATACCTATTTATCACTTTCCAAACAACTTCTTAGACCATCTCCAATGGTTCATCAATTCTATAATTTAAATTTGATGAAAAAATACCTCTTTTCCTGTTTCAATGGTTTCATCAAATAGGTATCAAATTGAGGATATCAAAAATTTTGGACCAAATTGAGGACGATGGAAGCTTTCATCAAATCACTGTTTATAACCGTTAAATTTTCATCTTCAGATGTCCTCCCGGATGTCCCCTAGATGACCATCTCTAGGAAAAAATTTGTGAAAAAAATATACTGACCAGTCGATTGGCCGGACATCCGCCTGGTCGTCCATCTGGTCGACCGGTATTTTGATGAAAGCACAAAATCCTCTATTGGAGTATTTGATATCAAATGAAGTTTTTGCTCAAATTTGATTTCAAAAAAATAAATTGAAAAATAATCGTTGCAGATGCTCGTACTCTTATTAGTATTATAATAAATAAAAAATGTTAATATCACTATTTAAAAATATATATATATATATATATTTTTTTTGCGGGAAACATTTCTTTTCCAATAAGCCACCCTAAATACATGGGCCTCTCTATACTCTGCAATGAGGACATAAACCCAAAACCCTAGCACAATTAATCCCAACTCATAGTGAAATTTGAGTTTATGCATTGAAAAAATCTCAATTAAAAGCTTTCGTAAAAAGTTAAAAAATATACCTATTTATCACTTTCCAAACAACCTCTTAGACCATCTCCAATGGTTCATCAATTCTGTAATCAAATTTAAATTTGATGAAAAAACATCTCTTTTCCTGTTTCAATGGTTTCATCAAATAGGTATCAAATCGAGGATATCGAAAATTTTGGACCAAATTGAGGACGATGGAAGCTTTCATCAAATCACTGTTTATAGCCGTTAAATTTTCACCTTCAGATGTCCTCCCGGATGTCCCCTAGATGACCATCTCTAGGAAAAAATTTGTGAAAAAAATATACTGACCGGTCGATTGGCCGGACATCCGCCTGGTCGTCCATCTGGTCGACCGGTATTTTGATGAAAGCACAAAATCCTCTATTGGAGTATTTGATATCAAATGAAGTTTTTGCTCAAATTTGATTTCAAAAAAATAAAATAAAAAATAATCGTTGGAGATGCTCATACTCTTATTAGTATTATAATAAATAAAAAATGTTAATATCACTATTTAAAAATATATATATATATATATATATATTTTTTTTTTGCGGGAAACATTTCTTTTCCAATAAGCCACCCTAAATATATCGGCCTCTCTATACTCTGCAATGAGGACATAAACCCAAAACCCTAGCACAATTAATCCCAACTCATAGTGAAATTTGAGTTTATGCATTGAAAAAATCTCAATTAAAAGCTTTAAATTCCGTGAAGTGTGTGTGAAAATGGGGAGTGGAGGGTTAGGTGTTGAGTCGACAAAGCATAGTTGTGGGTCTACGGCAGGAGTAGAAGTGTCGGTTGATGTGGTGGTGGAAGGAGTAGGTGGTTTGGGAATCGGAGGAGGGGGAGCATCTTCAGATGGAAGCTTCGAGGTTATCAACTCCAACAATGGTGATGGTGGTGGTGTGCAGGTCACGTGCTTCGCTGAGGTGTTGGAGGATGTTACCCTTCATTTTCAAATCATGTCTTCACAAACAGGTTATGTTTTCTCACTCTTTAAGTTAACAATTTTGTAATTGAAATAGTTAGTATTAATTATTCCTATGGTGCTTAAAAATATTGTCATCAATGGAAGAGATGTAAAATTGTGTAAGTAATTTTTCAGCAAAATAAACATTTAAAGGGCGGAAAATTGTAGGATTTTATTGAAAAATGAAAAAGAAAATGGGAGTTATAAAAGATTTAAGGGCATATATGAAATTTACGAGGGGATAAATTGGAATTTTTTTTTAATTGTAGATATAGGTGAGAAACCATAATTTTCAAAGTTAGCCGGGAATACAAAACTGGAATATGTTTCTATGTATGCAATGTTGATACTCAGTTGATTTTGTGATAAGTGAAAATGCTTTCTATTGTCGACTGATTGTAATACCTGATTAGGGATAGTTGTTTTAGCACAAGTCTAGTCCTTTTTTTTTTTTCTCTCTCTCTCTCTCTCTCTCTCTCTCTTGTTGTTGTTGTTGTTGTTGTTTAGTTTATTTTTTGTATTTTTCATATTTATTTCAAAATTTAATCTTTTACTTCTCACTCTCCTTGTTTCTCTATTTCGGTTATTTCTTTCCCTTTGCGAAAAAATAAATTAGAGCTACTTATCAAGAATAAAATAAATAATATGCAAGGTTATGTGATTATTTAGATATTATACAGTTTTTATCATGTCTTGACATAATCGGATCGTATGTATGGTTATATCACCAAATGGATTAATTAAATTTGATAATGGATTAGAGTTTGTAAAATTGAAAAATCAAGAATCATTTAGATTAATGACAATTGTTTTCTTTTATTTCTATAGATCTATGCATGGATTGGCTGCAACTTTGCTAGATTTAGATGCTTATATGCGGCTGCACCTACTCAGCCTGTAAGTTAAGAATTATATATTCACAAAAGCTTCCATCTTTTATGAATTTCATGGTTGTTTTATATAGGGAAGTTTCCCTATTATTTCTTGTGATGGATTATTGAATTCTAATACGATGTATTAGTGATTGACTTGGTATCACTCTTATACTTAACTTTTTCTCATTGTGAAAAAAAATTGAAGTTGTGGGTGGTTGTTTTGGTAAATTTTTATGGCAAGAGCAAGTGATCGCTCAAAACTTACAAAGGATAGGAAGCCAAGTGAAATATGCTCTACTATTTCATTATTCACTATCTTTCATTGACCACCATTTTGGGAGAAGTTTTATCTGAATAAAAATCCATTTATGTTTTAACCATTTCTGGTATCCAGGATGAATGTAGGAGTATTTTTATTTCAATGACTTCAATTTACTTGTTTGCTGGAATATTGAAAATTAAATAAAGCGTCTACTCATTTATAATTCTTCCTTAGAAATCAATATTTTCATATAGAAATATCTTTAAAATTCAATTAAAATAGTCAATATATATGTTGCTAGAAGTGCAATAGCTTTGCTTCAATGGCATTGGACTGACAAATACCATGTAACACACAAGGTTCAAATTGAGAGACTATCAGATTCAATCCTCATTAGATATCCTAACTGACAAAACAAAATCAGCTTTCTCAAACCCTAACATCTCATCTGTCCCTCAGTAAACTATAATTCAAAGCAAAACCTTAGAATAGATGCACATCAACAAGCCTCCTTTGGGATTTTAAAACTAGCAATTCTTGATCAAGCATTTTTACATATATAACATGACATAACAAATGATAAGCATATATATAATATGACAAAATAATACAATACAAAATGAAAGAAGCCGCCCCCGAGAATCCTTGGGAAAACCTATCTCTAAAATGACAAAAGAAAACTACATATAGACATCAAAGGCAATCTAACAACATATTTTCAAATGACCATCTTCCGTGCCGACAAGGAACAGTCGTGAGAACGGTAGAATACTCAAACTTGACAACACCGACATGTTCCTTACTCCACGATCTGCCAAATAGAGATATTGAGGTGTGATACGATGTTCCCCATCCTGCCACATGCCATTTTCAGAGGTAAATATACAAGTTACAATAACAAATGGATAGAAACAATGACATACAAATTTGACTAAGCTTTCTTTTTCTTTTTCCTTTGTATTTTTCTTTTTCTTTTTTCAAACAAGAGGGAGTAAGGAAGAAAAAATGATGAACTGATTTTTATTTATTTATTTATTTTTTGGGATATGTAAGATGAACAAACGAATGATGTGAAAAGCTAATCACAACTCCTCAGTTTGATACATAACAAAACTATTTTGTCAAAAATATTAAACTAGACCAATAGGGGGGAAACATACATAAGGTCAACCAATTCTTAGCCATCCAATTGACTATGAATACTTGAGAACAAAATTGAAGTAGAAGATCCATTTCCGACAAATGATGTTCTTTTGTGTGAAATGAATGGGTGAAACGTAGTTAACAGAGGATGAAATACTAAGATTCATAAACCCAACATCTTATAATCAAAACAATCATTGCTTTGATTAGCTGTCAAGGTTAATTTTGTAATTGTCATGCAAGTAATTGTGGGTTATAGAATCTTTTTTCATTTTTAGTTGCGAATACCACTATCTTTGATTTTGGATCTTCCAAATCAAGGCGATGTAAAACTCTATAAAGGGCATATATCTCCCTAAAGAAAACTGGAGAGGCGATAATGACTTGTTGAGTCATATTTAGGGATCTAGATCATAACATGAGTTGGAAGGCTCTTCTAATGTATTGAGCAAACATGGTGGTGATGTGGGGGTAGGGGTGAAAAAGGAAAGAGAAAAAAAATTACAATTGTCATGCAAGTAGAATATACTGAGCAAACATGGTGGTGGTGTGGGGTAGAGGTGAAAAAAAGAAAAAAAGAAAAAAAGAAGAAAAACATTTTGGTATACTTACTTCTTCTGCAGATCTAGCTAAAGAAGAAAGACCAATCTTATTTTTGGCGATTGAAATCACATCTTGTCCCCACACAGAAAAACCAGATACAGTATCACCATGACCTCTGAAAACAATAGGATGTGACGGTAAATTCCTGCAAGAAAATGTCCACAGAAACAACAAATTAGACACAAAATATCTAATGTCATACTTCTGTTTAACTTGGTTCAAAAAAAAAAAAAAAAATTCTGTTTAACTTAACTAGAACAGTTCCCTTTTCCAATTCCCTTGGAAAAAGAGAGAAATTTTGAGCCGGAATGACATAGTTATTTTGGAGAAAAATTGTCATTTAAATTTTCTTCTCAAACCAACCTCCTCCCAACCGCCTTCCCCCTAAAAGTAAAAATAAATAAACAATGGCAAACAAGGCCACCTGCCCACAAACCACAAAATATCTTTGTATACATAGATAATTACATGCAAATTAATCAATATGTATGGACATATATTTGAATTTGAAAGTTTTTCATTATTTTCCTGTCCAAATGCTTCCAAATTCCCTTCTCATCGCCTTTGTAAGATTTTTAGGCAGGATGAGAAACATTTCCCCAGTGGCTGCTCCCAGCCACAACTGAACATGGAAAAAGCAGGGATACCTACTACACATTTGGGGTACAGTGGGGGATGTGAGAAACTATACAGTACAACAGATCCTTTCTGTAACTTCTTTTTGATTTTCTATTGCTGAGACACACTCCCATGTGCCAACTGGGACCTGAACCCTACACCACCCTTTTTGGGGTGGCAGGAGTAATCATCCAGACTAAAATCTGGGGGTGATCCTTTCCATAGTTATTTAAAACTTAGTGACTGTCAAGACTCGAGTAAATAACTTTCTTTTAGGAGCTCAAAGCTCAGAGCTTTTTAGTGAACAATACTTGCATTGACATGTTATCAGGGAAGTCTATAGAATGGCAGGGTTGTACATGAAACTTGAAAGGTTCTACTTTTTCCTTCACAGACAAAAATAAGAACAAGAATCCACCTAGTAAAAGGGGTAATCAAACTCCACAAGTGCAGCCCAAAATATGATTTGGCTTGTATCATTACAAGTAATTGATCAGGTTCGTCTTAATCTTGCTTGGAAGGAATCTTGCTCACTCGGGTTAACTTTGCATGTTTTTCAAGTAACTAAAAGAAGATATCCAATTACCTTCTCAAGTCCCAAACTCGTAAAGTCCTGTCAAGAGAGCTGGAGACAAGCAAATGTTCCTCTGGTGCAGCTAACTGCAGGCATGGGAAGATAAATGAAACTACACTTCATTAAATTGCATTTTACATTTAGCAATTTAAATTACCTTAGTTACATATGCATCATGTGCCCGCCACGAGGAAATAATATTTCCACTTCTCACATCAATTAACCTGCAAATTCCAGAACTTAGTCCAGCTGCAATCCAAGATGGTGAAGTTGCAGCTCCATCAGCTTGCATTTTGTCAGATCCACATGCACATATAGCAGAAATGAGAGAAGGGAAACTGGATTCACCAGATTCACTCATCCATAGATGAAGTTTTTGACCTTGTGTAACATCAATGAATCTGCATGAAATAGTACAATTCAAAAGGCCGAACTGCATTAGAAGAATGTTGATTTTTTTTCCTTTTTTGGTTTATCTGCTTCACCTAAGAATGCAAATCTCACTCTAAGAGTCTTTACCTGAGAGAACCATTTCCTGTGCCAACTACAAGCTTTTCAATGAATTCTAGGTGATGCATACAAGTGTACAAGCTCCCATCAAATGAAGTTGAAAATATTCCACTTAATAATGGATTGGAATTTAGCATATTGGGCTGATCAGTATTTATCTTTGATGCAGAAGTTGAAGGGCTAGCAACATCAGCAGAATTTGCTGATGATTCAGCAAATATAGATATCAGTTTCCCTGTTTGGCTGTTCCAAACATGTACTGTTCCATCACAAGAAGCTACCCTTTCATGGGACGACAGGACGCAAACATCATTCACAACCTGAAAGTTGGAGAGTAATTAGAGACATATCAACCATAAAAACATAACAGAGCATGATATGCATCAAGAATAGTAAGGGTTGGTTTGGGATGTTCTAAAAAAGTGCACTTTTTGACTTATTGGCTTATATGGGTTGGGTTTGGATTGGGTTTGATGTGATGTGTTAGAGAGGTGATGTGATTTAAACAAGATGATGTGACTTAAATAGGATAATGACTTTTTGACTTTTTGTATTATTTAGTAGATGCCAAACTTGGCCTAAATTGAAATATTCAAATGCAATTAGAAAAGCAATAAGCTAATGTTCATATGATAAAATTCCACAATCTTCAAGAAGAAATTAAGAAATATTGCTCTACAACAGTTATTGAAGTCAACAGCACTTAGTCACTCCGTTAAGTTGAAATGGTTCCCTTTTGTCCTGACCCATGACATCTAATAATGGTATGCTATGATACGAGTTATAACTTTCGCCATTAGATGTACTGCATTTTATGACTACTTTCCGCCCAAACCCAAAGCAGACAAAAGAAGTTGTCCAGACAAAACAGTTCCTTGGCCAATCATTTATACAGTTCCATGAGAGCAGTATTGTGCCTCCTGAACTGAAGAGATGGGGAACATTCCACTCGAGACAGTATTTAATCTAACAGAAGTCTGACCCTGGCCCAGTCAGTCTTTTTGGGGCTAAATTGTAAAATAGCGGGGTGCTGCACTACACAGAGTAAGAAGTACTTTTGGAAATCGATTATTCTAGTAGAAATAGAAAAGCTTGTTAGTTCTTTGATTTGTTATGATACGAGTTATAACTTTCGCCATTAGATGTACTGCATTTTATGACTACTTTCCGCCCAAACCCAAAAAGCAGACAAAAGAAGTTGTCCAGACAAAACAGTTCCGTGGCCAATCATTTATACAGTTCCATGACAGCAGTATTGTGCCTCCTGAACTGAAGAGATGGGGAACATTCCACTCGAGACAGTATTTAATCTAACAGAAGTCTGACCCTGGCCCAGTCAGTCTTTTTGGGCTAAATTGTAAAATAGCGGGGTGCTGCACTACACAGAGTAAGAAGTACTTTTGGAAATCGATTATTCTAGTAGAAATAGAAAAGCTTGTTAGTTCTTTGATTCTTTCTGGGGTATAAGGGATAGAAATAAATAATCGAGCCGCCCTATTTTCATTCCTTAACAATTAACTAATAAATCACCTTTTCATTCACCAATTGGGATGTAAACAGCATATGTTAGAGAACAAGAGCCATAAATATGAAAGATAAGTGAGATAAATAACTGGATCTCATTTACGGCTTTTGCAATACAATTTTCAAACTAACAATTACTAGAGCTAAAGCATAAGACAAGCAAAGGTTTCAGAACTCAAATACCAATTAATTGCAAACAATGGTGTCATACTCCAATTTAACAAAAGGAATATAAGAATATACCTCCTCATGGCCATAATAACCAGATGTACAATTGATTCTTGACAGGTCCCACTTCTGAACAGTTCCCTTGAATCCTGGACCAACTCCTGCTGTAAAAACAGTACACTCATCCTGACAAACAGCCAAAGATCTTAGTGCTCCATGATGTGCACGGATGGAGTGCATTACAGATGCTCTGATCTTCCATGGAAGTTCATCTTTCAGACTCCCAACACGACCTAAAAAATCAGGCCCATCCCAGCTAGCTGCTGGACTAGGGAACCAATGCCATGGCTCATGTTTTCCAAAAATTGAGGGTTTTACATGCCGCTCAACTGGATCTTGATTGAGGTCGTTTGCTCGCTTATGAGGCATCAAGTTTTTGGCACTCCTGTTTCCTTGTGATTGTGGTATTGACCACCCAACCCCATTGAGCAACAGTTTAGCAGGATTGTATTCAGAAGAAGTTGAGCTCTTGCTAAAAACAGGCCTTTTAGAATTAATATTGTCTGGACCACTTCGAGAGGACTCTCCTGTATATTCCCACTAAATCATGACAGTTCAGGCATGTGAAGTGCAACAAAGTATAAATGTGCTTGAGCATGTAGAATTGATTGTTTTGTAAATAAACAAAAAAAAGGATACTAGTCTTGGAACCATGAAACAAGCATACCTTCCAGTTATGGCACCGTAGAAGGAATTGCTCAAGAAGCAACCATGTGGCACAACCTTGGCGAAGTTTCTCTATACCAAGAAGAGAAGCGAAGGGGGGATACAAAAGCAACCTGTAAATGTCCAGATTAAGTTAACACATGCTAAAAATGAAATTAAGGTAAGACGTTATGAATTGACTCCAATTGAAAAGACTAGCACCCACACAAGGTCCATACGACTTTCAATTGGATCCTCCTCATCTACTTTTCGTTTGGTAACCTTCAAGCTTCTCTCCAGAGAACCAGAAGTAATGCTGGTTTCCTGAGAGAAAGCAAGCTCATCGAATAGCTCTTTGAGTTTCGGCAGAACATGCAATGCGGTTAAATCTGGGCCAATCCGCTCACAAATTGCAATGAGACTTGTAGCAGCAACCTGGTGAGCAGAAAAATAATTGCATTATTAAGAAACTTTAACTAGTTAACCAGTGCATAAGATGCAGGTAAGTGAAAGAGGATTATTTTATTGACATTAATTCACATTATCTAAGAATATATGGGAATAAATCATTGAATGTAGTAGTGAAACAAGGCTAGAACAGAGCTATTCCTCTTTCAATTGACAACTCAATAATCAATTAGGATGAATCACTATCTTCGGGACATGTGGAGGGTGCAATGTGAGGCACAGATTAGCAAAGTGTTGGAAAGAAACCATAGAAAAAGCAATGGAATACAGCTGCTCACATATTCATTGAAAAAGTAGAAAAGGTCAATGTGTCATGCAGCAAGCACACTTAATGCCTTCATAAAGAGGCACAAGCCTTACCCGCACTTGGTACTTGTGAAACTAAAATTATAATTTGGGACACTAATGCACAACAATGAAAGTTGTATCAGCAGCCCTCCCTCTCACGTGTACCACAGTGCGCCGCCACGTGAGAGAGAGAACTGTATGTACAACCTTTGTGGTTGTAGATTTGGCAATTTTTATCCTACTTAATGGTTTATATTTTAAAAATGATGGCAAAATTGGAGCCATAGCTTCTATAATTTGTCATTATTGTTTAACTTAACCAACAACAACAACAAAAAAATGGCACGATCATAATAAACAAATAATTCTTCGTGTGTTGTCAACTAATCTCAACCCATCCAATCTTTGAGATGCACCAAATTCAAGATAAATGACACCTCTACCTCAGTAACAATCAGTATTTCATATTTCTAGTAGCCCCACAGGAAAAACTCTCTTTATTCCTTCATCCTTTTTAAAGGGATTCTTTTTGGATTGTTGATTCCCGATAATTGTTACATATAAAAAAAAATAAAATCACAGAAAAGGCTCTCATTCTTTACATGCAAGGAATGCTAATTGATTGCGACTCCTAGTTTGTTGACTATCATCTTAAAGTTGTTCATTTGTTACCGTTTCAATTCTCCATCTTCTTGCATTGTATTTCAGTTGTCGTTTATTGTTGGTTATTCTCTTTAAATCTACATCATTTGCTGTAGCCTATCCATTGAAGTTAATAATTTACTGGTATTTACCGATAAGTTTGTTTGTCACTATTCTATAGTAAGATGAATAACAATTCTGTGTTATCTCAGAACAAAGAGCAAAACTAATGCAAATATTTAAAAAAGTAAACAAGCATAAGATATTGTCAAGAGATCAGAGCAGGAATTTGAAACACCTGAAGAACTGCAGTGTCCAAACTAGTTTGCATGAGAACTATAACGTGCAGGCAACTTCCATCCTGAACAAGTATAGTAAATGTCAAATCAATTTGTGATTTCAAATGCTCAGTTTCAGATAAGAGCAATGCTAGAGACGCCAAATGAATTGCCAAATATTATACCAAACCACACCCGTGTGTGTATTTGGTAGAATATTTGGTAATTCATTTGGGATCTCTAGCATTTTTGTTAGGATAAAGGTGGGCCACGTAAAAGTGAATGCCAAATCTCATACTTCTATCAACTCCTTTAAAACCACCTCCGTCGGCAAGACTGCAAGGAGACCATCCAATGTCATTAGACAATCCATAAGGGCTAAAGAACTCCAGATCTGCATGGGTTCAGGCTTAGTCATATATGAAGCATCGACGCACGAATTAACAACATTTCTTAGTAATGGTAGAATCTGTCGGGCAACAAAATTCTCCCCCAAAAGACCACCTAAAAAACAAAAGCAGAAAATTAGCGTAACAAGCCAAAGAAGTACATTTTCCAAAAAGACACCAGTCTAATGACCCCATAAATTGAGAATACCAATTCTAACCAGGACATCAATTCCATCACTGCAGAGCCCTTTACCAAAACAGTGGATCAGAGGTAAGATTGTCTGGAAATGACAGGAACAGTTAGCACACTATGAACAACAACAACAAAAGATAGCACATTGGAACAGGAAAGAAAATTCTAAATTTGTATAGTAATGAAAATTTTAAGTTCCTACATCTATCAAATCACATAAGTGAGAACAGAAGATTTGATTCAACCTGATGAACTGTAACTGGTACACCAAGCTCTTCACTAGAGACAATGAGCAGCACAGAAGCAGCAGCAGCAGAACTCTTATGAGGTGAAACATATAAATTTGATATAACCGAAGGATGTGTTGTCTCCAGATATGCCTGTTTACCAATCCGGTGCCATATTTCACGCACAAATGAGTCTTGAAGAATAGAAACCTTCAAATGCAAATATCCAGAAGCCTGAAAGAAATGACTCACCATGTAAGAAATCAAAACAGGGAGTCATGCATAACAGAGCATTTAAGAACATGTTTACAACTAGCCTGTAGAATCTTCTGGATGGCAGGCAAGATGAGTGCCTTTATTGCTTTCGGTTTCAGACATTTTAAGAATTCTTTCAGTAGTATATATGCCCACTCAGCTTCAATATCTGATACAGGAGTCATTACAAGCGGTAAGCAATAGGGAGCACACATTTCAGCTGCAAATGGACCCATTGCCTTGAAGGCTCCTTGTTTTGCAAAATTTGCAGCATAACGAAGACATAATCCATCTTTTGCCAAAAGTTGAAGAGGGCTGAGAAACAAGTAGGATGACCTGACCGTTGTTGAAAAGTATGGAGATTCCAAAAGGCATTTGGCAGAAGGCCTCCTAATAAGTTGAGAATAAAAGATTAAATTAGTTTGGAGAAAATGGGAAGTACTAAGGCCCTTAGATTTTGTAGTTAGATGAATTTAGGAAGGACTCAAGACCAAACATCCAAGTTTGACAAAAAGCTTCAACCACTTCTAGCAGGGGAAAAGAAAATTTAATGACAATACCTCCTCCAATCCTTCTGAATGCATGCCTCAACAATAACTTTAGTGTGAGGGGGAAGTTCTTGCATCTGTCTAGGTAAAACACTACTCTCCAAGTACAGAGCCAATGAGGTTGGATCAAATAATGGCCTCCTCAAATGAAATTCGGCTAAGATGCATCCAATAGAAAATATGTCTTTCGCGATGCTTTCTGAAAAACTCTTACACCGAGATGATTTCTGCCTCCAAAGCAGTAACTCCTGATATCCCACAGAAGTGTCATCACCCACCTCAATATTCTCGAGAAGATAATTTAAGTCAACAATGGATCGCATCCCATATTTGCTTCCATAGTCAGGTGTCCCAGATATGTTTTTCTCTGAACTGTCACTTAGAAGCTTTAGTGAAGAAGAGTCATCCTCTACAAGATTTTCTAGATGATAGCAGTACAGGGGACTCAAATGCCGAGCATGTTCACAAAATGCAGCTGCTTCTACCAATCCTTGTAAATGAGCAGTTTCAAGAAGAAGAGATTTCTCACCCTCTACTTGATTCACTTGGAATTGAATCATGTTTAATTCAGCTGTGGTATTACAACTTTTCCTGGTAGCAACTTGACGAGCAGGGTGTGGTTGGGTAAAAAGCTGGCGGCGCCCTACCGACCTGGGCATTGTGGGCTCTGATGCAGGCAACATAACATTCTTGGCATCAACAGCTGCCTCACCTGACATTTTATACCCAAAGGTGATGTCAATCCAATGCTGAAGTTGGCATGAGACCTTATTGCTTTCTAAAGCATCTCGATGCAGTTTAATGAACTCCTCAGGGGTACCCGCCCACAATGGTACAGCCAAATCAGTCATACCAGAGTGTATGGAAGAAAATATTTGGGGATCACAGTAGAATTCTGGGATGCACTCATCAGGGGTCCATTGGTAAAGTCTTTGCATAGTAGAAGGATATTCATTCGGTTCATAGACTGAACGAACAGCCATACGCAAAACATTCAGTGGTAACCTCCTTGCCTTGTAACTGCACACAGCCAATTCAGAAAGGCATTCATCTGATACATGATGAGGGATTTCGGATGTTGAATACGTGAAGTCTAATTGTTCATCTCCTTTTGCTAACCGCCATTTGCTCTTGCTTAAATCTCGCCAACCTGCATCATTAGTCTCATCAGGTTTCACACTAAAATCTATAACCCACGGCATCACTGTATGAAATGTGTGGTCCCCCCACTTTCTCCCAGCTAATCTGTTTAAGATGAGCAAATATTCGAAGTTACTCAACTCCCCCCTCCACCAACTATTAAAGGCAGAATGCCAGTCCATAGATTGGGAAAACTTCAAATCAGCATAAAGTCCTTCAGAAGGACAGCCCTGAATGCAGCAACCAATCCTCGAAGTTGGAGTAAGAGAGCATTCTTTACTTGTTTTACTTGGATCAGAGCTCAGCAAAGGTCTATCAACAATCCGCAACCAAGACCAACACACACCGGTCAACATTACATTGGATGGGCATACATTACCATGGGAAACCCCCAAACCGTGCATATGAGCCAATGCAGAGAGTAGCTGGTATATCAAAAATTTTATATGCCATTCAGATTTTAAGGTATTAGGGCTATAATGAAGAATGTTTTCCAAAGTGTAAGGAGTCTTGGGAAGCACTAAATTGATATAATCAGATGTTTTGAGCATCCCTAGAATAGGAGCTATGTTTGGGTGCCTTAAAGACCCAGGGAAGCCATTCTCATTAAATACCGGTATCCCAATTAAACTAAGAAGATTTATACTATCTCGTCCTGTTGCTTTTCCTTCAATCAAAAGACCAAGTGAGCTCAACACGTGGTCTTCAACGAACCTAGAAAAATAGTTGGAAGCAAGCTCTTCAAACACGGAGTAAGATGAAATGCCAACCTGAGCAATCGGAGCCAAGGAAGTGATTGTCCTAAAGCAAGAAAACCGACTGGCAAAGTTACAAGTCGAATTTTTGCATCTGAACCCATCCAGCAATGTTCTGCCACCATTGGACTGGATTTCATTCAATGTAGTGTCTAGTGAACAAGTTTGATCTTGATCAATCACTGATGCAATTGTGTCACCACTCTCACCATTGTGTCTACCTTGAAGATCTTCTGGACAATACTCATCACTGGAAAAAATAATCCAAGTCCAATCGGAATCACATCGAATCAATATTCACAGTAAATCATAGAAAGCCATAGCATAGGAAATCATATCAAATTGAGTAACATACATGTATTTTGTCAAGCAATCATATTGGCCACTAGGCAGATACACCAATATGAACTGAGATGAAGCTTCGCTACTAGAATTTGACATCTACGTCGATACAACAAAAGAAATAAACGAATTAAATATAAAAAATAATAATAATTCATGTATAAACAAGAAGTCATATGAGTTTGGTGGTGGTGGAGTGTATAAATATGAGGAACCTGAACGACGGCGGTGGAGGCGAAAGGACAGGCAGAATCGGAGATGGCATGGGAAAAAGTGAGATTATCAGAGAAATCGGAGCGAATTCGACGTTGAAGACAGTCGAAGCACATTTGATCTTCCATTTTTCAGAGAAGTGAAGACACAAAATCAAAATCTTCCATTTTTCAACTGGGAACGGTGCCTATTGCAGTATTGGAATTGGACCCTTCCCATCCGTTGTTGCTTCGCTTTAGGGGAGAGTCCTCGGAGTCGAGCTTTGAAGCTAAACAAGTGAAGCATGTAGATGCCGGTTGTCAAAGAACTTTCGTGGGTTCCACTTGAAACTGTATTGGCATTTTGGTGCAACATTTTAAGGCAACCTTGAAATATATTGGTGATAGTGAAACGCATCCCCTTACATGGCTATGGAAAAATACATCCAAAAAAATAATTTATAACCCAAAAGAATCCTACTACATTGATTCTAAATACAGAAGGAAATTGACATGGGGATGCCACTTCACCAATACATTTATGGGGTATACCTTCAACCATAAACAATAAAATAAAACATGTGTACCAATAAATACCAATGCCACCTCCATCCAAAAAAAAAAAACTAAATTAAATTGAGCAATTAATAATTAAAAGCAATTTAAATGGGTCAAAGGATGGAGTCTAATTACAATTCCATCTAACGAAAAGAGTGTTGGACAATAACCTAGGACTCATATTTAATATATTGGTACATAACCAACATATTAATTAATCACAAAATAAATTAACTCAACAATTGAATAGCGCAAAATAAAAAGCTAACAATATTAAAAGGAGTTAATTAATTATGCACACTAATTAACAAAAAAAAATTCTAGAATATTTTCCTGATTTCCAGATTTTTTTTTTGACTCAAAAAGGTTTGAAAAAAACATATTTTTCCAATTCAACTCCGATGAAAGCCTATTTTATATCAATAAAAAAGCTTATTGAGAGCACAATCTAAATATGTCAATTTCATTTAAAAAAATAATATTTTATTTTCTGTTTTTGAGTACCAAAAAATCTGCTGTATGCAGAAACACTACTACAAAATCGTACATAGATCACGGATTTTAAGTGTGATTTATGTTATTTAATCATGGATTTTTTATTTTGTTAAAGTGTGATCTTTGAGAGTGTAATTGTTCAGGGTCATTTTCGATCATATTTTTTGACCGCCATTAAAAAATAATTTCATCACATGTTTTGACCATGATAATAAACATTTAGATCATGAATTTTAAGTGTGATCAATAACTAATAAAACCTGAGATTGAATTTAAATAATCCATGATTAATAGTGAGATAAGATCACAGTCATATGCATTTCTTATCACGATTAGTGCGTTTGATAAAAAAAAGTTCGACCACAAAATGTGACTACCAATCACAACATATCAACCGTGGTTAAAATCTGAACAAAACTAATATTTAAAATATAATCAATATTATTTGTACAAAAATTTCCTTTGAATCACAACATTGACCACATATTTCATAAATGAAAGTCTAGTGTTGGAAAAATATATACAAAGAAAGTTCAAGAATAAAAGGTTTTTTAATGTGATTACACAATAAAAATCTCATTAAAAAAATGAAAAAAAAAAAAAAAAACACACTTAATTAAGAATAGGCCAGTTAATAGGGAATATATATATATATATATAGATGCAATATGGTATAATACAAAGAGTAGGGAACAAAACATGGAATTCTTATAACATGCATAAAAAATAATTAGCAAAAATTGTAAGCAACTCAAGGAAAACATATATAGATGCAATATGGTATAATACACCCAAAAAACAAAATAAAAAAAAGAGTAGGCCAGTTAATAGGAAAAAAAATAATGATACATTATACATTTAACTTAGACGCTATGGATAAATGAACAATATAGATGTGGAAATCATATAAGCAAAATAATGATACATTATACATTTAACTTAGACGCTATGGATAAATGAACAATATAGATGTGGAAATCATATAAGCCCAATTAGATAAAGGACTCCAAAATCAACAACATTATATCCCACCCCACCCCATACACACACACAAAAAAAGAAAAAAAAAAGAGGAATCCCACAGGAAGAAAAGTAACAAGGGCTCCTGAAGATCAATTTCCTGGATGATTCCAAAACAAAGTAAAAAATGACAGTTAAATCAACAGCTGCTAATTCTTAACCATATGGAAAACAAGACAATAATGTGTTAAGGCTATCATAACTCAAAATCAACAATACCCTACAAAATAAATACTAAGCCAAACTTAGTTTATGATGTTAGTGCTCGAACATCAACATTATTCACATTAGTGGCAGTTAAACAGATTAAGTTATAAGCAAAATATCAATAGATAGCACTCATGACAGGGCAAAAGAGAAAACTAACCAAAACTGGATCTCCTCTGGTTGAATTGACAATGGTGTTCATATGGGAAATAGCATCAGCCTTACCTTCCTGCAATGGTAAAAAATAATGAAGAAAAGTTAATGAACTATACACTCAGTAAAGACTACCGAAACATTTAATATTACTGCAGCTACACTACATGAGAAAAAGCTAGCAAGCAGCAATATAGAGCACACTGGGATTCAAATTTACTCTTTGAAATGATATGAGCATTTCCTGAATAAGTTGTGTTTGAATCCCAATATGTTTCCAGAGTAAGTTTAATGGATGAATTTCAAATTTTTCCCTGAGAAAGTTTAATATTTGATATGTTATAGGCCTTCCCTCAATCTGCTCCTCATGAATTTTATATGAGTAGTCAATTGCATTTTATTATCAATCCATTACTTGCATAAATCCTTTTCAAAAAGAACTGAGTGGGGAAAGAAAGAGGGCAATTTTTTTTTTTTTTTTTTTATCACTAAATTTAAGGAATTAGAATACAAATCTACCATGTTTCAAAATGCGCATTCCCAACTGAAAATCACAATGAACTTTTCAGTAACTTTCGTCATCACTATAACAGTTTAGGCCTTTGCTCATAACCAATGTGTTGCAATAATGATGTGATGAATTATTCAACAATAATGATGTAATCACAAAAGATTAATTAATAAAGATCAAAACACATCAACGTCAGCATCTTTTGTAGACCAAAAGAGAAAGAGTAGTAAAACCTAATCAACACAATCTCTTGAAACACCATGGCTAGAAGGGGAGGAAATTTTTGAAGGTACGAAACCATATTATAAAAATTCAGGTACCTTCAGTGATCAAAAAGAGTTCCATATTATTCACAAACCTAAAACAAAAAAGTTGTAATCCAATACCCAAACTGAGGGAAAAAGAAAAAAAATAAAAAGAAATCTCTCTAAGTATAAGCTTTAGGGGTGTGAAAAATTAGGGCTTTTTGCTCTATGAGAGCAATAGTTTTTCTATGAATTTGGAGATTCAATCATAGATGACAAATTAGGTAAAATCATGCTGTTCTCATTCTACACAAAGATAAATTTTTGTCAAAGCTTTCCAAATAGTTTAACGATCTTGAAAACTGAAGCATATATATATATATATAAATAAATGTGTTCACCGTTCGCAATGTTGTGTGAGGCCAAGATGGTGGCTGCGACAGTTGCTGCAATGGTCGAGATGGGGCGTGGGGTTACCGCAGTTGTTGCGATCGAGATGTAGACGAAGGGTCGCTATGGAGGGACGAGGAGCAGCGACGGTGGTGAGGAGTGTGGGTGTCGACGAAAAGGAAGAGGCAAAGTTACTGCTGTGGTCGTAGTGGACAAGTGAGAAACAGAGTGCTGGGAGGAAAACACTTTCACAGATATAAAAAAACACTTTCAAAAACAGTGTTGTTTTATTATAGAGATATGAAAATAAAAATAAAAATAAAAATATATATATCCAGGCTTTGTTTGGAAAGTTACTATTTTAGTAGGTTATTTTAATTTTTGGTTATTTTAATAGGTTAAAATTTTTGTGTTTGGGAAGATGATTGAATTTTTTTATGGTTAGATGTGATGTTTGTGAGAGAAAAAGTGAAATGATTACGGGTTTGATGTGATATTTTGTCTTATTAACTATTTTAGCCTATTTTGTCTTTTTGTGAATTTTAACCTAAAGTAGGCTATTTTTTTTCTTTCCAAACACCCCTACAATCACATTTATATAGAAACTGTGATTAAAAAAATAAAGATATATAATAACACTTATTTGGAAAGTGAGGTTAAAAATAATTCTCTAGAGTGAAATTTTTCTAAAGTTTCCTAGAGTGCTATATTGTGTGGTTGAGATTTACTGGCAAGTCACATCAGAAAAATTGATGTGATTTGCCAGAAAATCTCAACCACACAATGTAGTACTCTAGGAAACTTTAGAAAAAAATCACTCTAGAGGATCCTTACTCTAAAAATAAATACTACCTCATTTAATTAAGTTAATTGTGATTAAAATATCATTCTAATTTTTTTAATTACATTTTTAATAAAAATAAGATGTTTTTAATTTTTCATGCGTGAACTTTAAGCATTATTATAATTTATAGTAGTAGTCCGATAATGTATCTGATTCCATTAAATGACATGCCAGACTAGGTCACATAGGACAAGAAAGAATTACTTAGATTGGCTAGAGGAGGACTATTGGGCACTCTCACCAAAGTTAGCATACCTGCATGTGAGTCTTGTGACGATCATCAAGAGAATATTTTTGACTCACTAACAATAAATATATCACCACAATAAAGATAGAGTAAATTAAAAAAAAAAAAGTTTAAGTTTAAAAAAAGGGAAAAAATAATCAAAAAATTCCAATTTTTAAAGGAAAAAAAAAAAAAACCAAAAAAGAAGAAGGGGCAACATGGATACATTGAAGGGCCAAAATGCAATTCAATGGGCTTTCCCTTGAGCATGTACTACTGATATAGTGATTACTACTACTAGTACTAGTACATGGGATATTCTATGGCTAGCATTGAGCATGTACTACTGATATAGTGATTACTACTACTAGTACTAGTACATGGGATATTCTATGGCTAGCATATATATTGGCACCACCGTGGTTGTTCTCCTCATGAATGGCCATGAGTTGTGATACTTGATCCATAATTGACTTCTGCTTCTTGTTGTTGATCCTTTTGTTGTGAATATGGCCTCCATCGGTAGTGGTGGTGGTGGGCAGTGATGGTATCACGATCATGCTGAGCTTGGTGGGTGGCGGTGGGTGGGGATTAATGGAGGATCTACAGAGTGGGCAAGTGGAGTTGGAGTGGAGACAGTAGCCGATGCAGTCGACATAAATCAGATGCTTGCATGATGGCACCTGGTTCAACTCCTCTTTCATCTCAAATTCTCCCAGACAAATATAACATTTGTCATTTTGGTTCACTCAAAACATTAACACCTTTTTTCATAAAATCTAGTAAGACAAGAACATGCTATCACTACAAGAAATTATACTTTTGACGACTGAAAAAAATTTAATCGTCAAAAGTTGTGAAATTGGCGATCAAAAATTATATTAGTCGGCAAAAGTACAAGAGTTAGCTACCACTACAACATATAAGAGTTTTAGAGACCAAATATTTTGGTCTCTAAAAGTGAAAATTTTGTTGTAAAAGACATTTAAGTACTAATTTCCATTGTCATGAAGATAGTCGCTAAAAGATTGTCCTAAAAAGTTAAAAATAAGGCTTTTAGTGACAAAATGTTGAAGATGTCACTAATAAATAGACTTTTAAGGACAAAATAATTTAGTCTCAAGATGGTTTATTTTTTGAGACAAAAAATTTAGCCCAAAAAGCATAATTCATCACTAATGTCCAATTTTTGTTGCTAAAAATATAATAACGATACTTTTCGCAACAAAAATATTAGTCTCTAAAAAATAATGTTGTCCCTAAATTTTGGTCTATAAAACCTTAATTTTTTGTAGTGTTCTAATCTTTTTTAGTTGGGGTGTATTGTTTATTGGTGACTAAAAAAAATGTAGTTGCTAAAAATGCCACAATTGGCGACTGAAAATTTTTTAGTCGCTAAATATGCCACAATTAGCTACAAAAAAAAATTTTAATCGCTGTATAGTTACTTTTGGCTACTAAAATTATTTAGTCACGGAATGAAAAATAAAAATTTATTTTTTATCTTTGGTGACCAAAAGTTTGATGGCCAAAAACTTATTTTTAGCGACTAAATAAATTTTAGTCGTCATATACTAACTTTTGCCGACTAAAAGAAATTTAATCGCCAAATATCTAGTATAATTTTATTTTTAATCTTTGGTGACTACCTCATTTGGTCGGCAAATTTACATTTTTGGTGACCAAAACACATTTAGCCGACAAAAAAAACTCAATTTTTTACTTTTCTCTTTGGCGACCAATTATTTGGTCGGTAAATATTTATTTTTGGTGACTAAAATTATTTAGTCGGCAATATTTAGCTACTAAAAAAAATTTAGTTGCCTTTAGCTGACTTTTACCGACTAAAGTTTTTAGTCGGCAATTGTAATTAAAATTTTGGAAGAAGGATTTTGAATTTTTGGAGGGTTCCTTAATTAATTGGCAACGAAACTATGTTTTAGTTAGGGAAAATAAGTAAACAAGGATGTAAAACGGATGGCTAAGATCACTTGAAGAACCAACGGGTGAGATGAATACCTTGGTGTAGTAATTCAAAATAAAATATTAGGGTTCTCTTTTCGTTTCAGATGTGAGAGAGAGAGCGAAGAGAAGATCAAGGGTTGAGGAGTCCCACTACGTTGCCGCCCCGCCGCCACTCCTTTTCGCATTCGCCAGCAGCCGGAGCACCTCCTCATCATCTACCATTACTATCGCCATCGTTACTGCTGTAACGCCCCAAAATATATAATACCATTAAGGTACATTAACCAACGCTCGTTATAAGAAAAAAAGTATTTCTCCAACCTTTACATTACGTGATCATGAGGTTCATACAAAATAATCCCACATGCGGGTATACATTCAATGGTTCCTAACACATGAATCTATAGCATGTAGGATATTCAATCCAAAAAAAAAAAAAAATTGAATAAATGCCCTTAAGGGTTTTAAGATTCCAGGGCTTAAGCGTGGTTACACAAAAAATAGTTTCTCGAACCCATACATAGTTAGCCCTTGGCTTGCAAAAATATAATCACGACAAAATATAGAGCTTTGAGCTCTCAATACATACATCCACGTCCTAGTTTGGCGGGTTCACCACGTCTTTTCCTGCACCAAAATCTCATAGGGTGAGCATAAAGCCCAGTAGGAAGTTCTTAACAAAGTATACATATTTTATACAAGCTTCATCAAATGAAATGCAAATGTCATGCCATGTCATGCCTTTGAAGAAAAATCACATTTTTATGTCTTTTGAAAACCATCATGCTCAATAATAACTTGAAATCTCAACAATTCGAAAATTATCAATTTAGTTCAAGGGGCGGCAAATACGACTTAGGTAATCCCTAGGTTGGTGTCTACAAGTAGGCATAACTAGCACAGCAAAACCCCACTTTACCAGTTGCTAACCAGAAGGGAAGTGGTATCTCCTCCGCGCGTGTTTTTAGTCTTTCACCCCGGACACTCAGGCAAACTTAATCAATTTCATCTCACCTCCTATCCGGACTTACCAACATATTTACCCCAAGCAATTCCATGAAAATTTATTTACAAACTTTCTTTTCTCAATGTAAATGTTCCCAAACTCAATTCAAAATGTGTAATAACCAATTAAATGAATATATAATGTAACAATTATCAATGCCTCATAACTTTTCTCCATTTTCAAATATCTCAACAATAATTCCATAACAATCAAATTTCTCATTCCTCCTTTCAATGCCATTTCACAAAATAGCCACATATTAAATTAAATCTATCAACAAGTAACAACATTTCCTTATGTTGTACATTCCTCAACAATTTAGTCATTTCAAGATTATATCAACATCTTGTACAACAACTCCCAAAATCACCACTTCTCATATTTCATGAAACTCATCATTTATATATATATATGCATAGAGATGAGAAATTTTCCAATCACTTATTTTTTTTGGCACAAAAGAATAATATAAAAAAAATGTCATCTATGGGTTCTCAACAACTTTTCAAAAACCCTAAATCTCTAGGTTTTCTCATCACAATCTTACACACCCAAAAATCTTTTGAAAGAATTTCTTCAAAGCATTCTTTTTCTCAATCAATGTAGTTCAAAACCTTCAAGAAAATATTTTTAAAAGAAATAAGGAGTAAATCCACCCCCAAACAACCCACATTGTTGAGCCAACCATCAAGTTTCAAAATTAACAAGAGAAATCCGAAAATTTAACCAAAATCTTGCAAAAATATATATATATAACTCTAAGAAATTCCCTACCTCAAGTTTGGAGAAGAAGTGAGATGAAACTCCCAAAGTCATTGGTGTTGAAGCTCGATCTCCACCGCACAAAATGAAGCCCTCAATTAGCTCTCCAAGATTTGTGAAGGATATAGGGTCAAAACTCCAATGGATTGGAAGAGATCAAGAGTTTATGGTCTTTTGGTGAGGTTTTCAGAGAGAAGGGAGAAGAAATGGTGTTTTTAGAGAGAGAGATGTGTAAAAAGTAAAATGTACAGAGCTCCAAAAGAAAAGAAAAGCAGAATTTTCGAACTCAGCCGACTCTCGCACGTGCGACACCCATTCCCGCATGTGCGGTACTCTCTCGCACCTCCCTTCGGCACCTGCCTTTTATGTAGTGGGCAATCCAAAATTTCCCTTGTTTCCCGCACGTGCGACCTCATCTTCCGCACATGCGGGCCCTATCCCGCACATGCGGT